CTGGCGAACCTATACATGGAACATCTAGAAGCCGAACGTTTCTCCACCATTATTCCTTCGTCTGTCACCTGGCTCCGTTATGTTGACGACATTCTCCTCATAACTCCTAAATGCTTCAACGTTCAAGCTCTCCAAGACAAGCTCAACCAGGTCGAGCCTTCAATCCAGTTCACACTTGAAGAAGAAGTCGACAACACTCTTCCTTTCCTTGATGTTCTGCTCTGCAAGGCTGACCACGAACTTCGTTTTAAAGTCTATCGAAAACCCACCAACCAAAACGATCTTCTCCACTTCTACTCTCGCCACGACACCAAAACTAAACGTGGTGTAATTATAGGCTTCTTCCTGCGTGCACTCAGAATCTGCAGCAATGAGTTTCTTGAAGAAGAATGCACGATAATTGAACAAGTATTTTCTAAACTCCACTATCCTCGTCACTTCATCAGAGACTGCAGATGACGGGCATTAAACATCTTCAATACACCCAGAGAAGACACTGCCGAGAAGAGATACATAGTCCTCCCCACCAACTCCATTGCCAAACACATTTCCAACATCTTTTCCAATACCTCATTCCAAGTATCTACCTCCACAACCACGACCATCAAGGACATTACCAGTGATAGACAGGACAAGCTTCCACCCTCTGCAGGGGTATACATAATCCCTTGTAATGACTGCAACAAATTATACATGGGCGAAACATCAAGGGACCTCCAAACACGCATTTCAGAACACCAATACGCAAGCAGGTCTGACGACACAAGGAATGCCTGCGTACAACACCGTAATTCACACAACCACTTGATAAACTACAGAAACTCAAGACTTATCGCCACAGAAGACAACACTCAATACCGAAGAATCCTGGAATCATCACTTATTTCTATATCCGACAACTTCAACCAGAATAGTGGCTTCTATAACATAGCTGAATCACTTGCCAAGAAACTTCTTCATCGCTATCCCACATAAGAACACAGGAATGGAAGAACACTGTAGAAGGTCTGCTTACAAACTTATCCAATCTCCTTTCCAAGCTACCCAAGACTTTATACTCTATAACCCCACTCGGTACATCATAAGATGCAGCATTCTCCACCTGACCTCAGCATTGTGAACCTGACTATAAATACTCGTGTCCCTTCCACCCCAGGTAGATCTGTTTGTGACTTGAAAAAGCCCACTGTGTGGGTGAAATGTAGTCAATAAAGGATCACATTATACTGCATATGTGTTTATATTTCCATTGTGTCGGTATTTTATACCATTTATTTCCAACATGTATATTATAGCTGCAGCAGTCATTTTGTTGCTTGTATTGCACTTGTTACACAGGAAATCTTTCCTCCATAATAGTCTGCCTTTTATTCTTATGTTATACAGTTTCCAGACTAATCCTTCACAAAGAACTTTACCATAAACCTTCTTGAAATCTAAATAAATGCAATTCATCCATCCATTTCTTTCTTGAGTAATTCTTATAAGTGCCATGACATCATAATAGATTTGTTGTACATTAATTTATCACTTGAAAACTAAGCTATTGGTTGTTTATTGACTCCTAGCTAACACTTTAGCCTCAGTGATATTAACATTCATAAGAAGTGGCATGTGAAATCCGGTGAGCTCATTTTAAATGAAAATATATTTTTGGTTTTAACCCTTTGACTGTTTTGGTCGTATATATACGTCTTACGAGCCACCGTTTTTGACGTATATATACTCATAAATTCTAGCAGCTTCGGATCAAGCAGGAGAAAGCTGGTAGGCCCACATGTGAGAAAATGGGTCTGTGTGGTCAGTGTACACCATATAAAAAAAATCCTGGAGCACGCAGCGCATAATGAGAAAAAAAAAGACCGGTTTTTTTTTTAATTAAAATGCCGAATTTGTGGTCTATTTTCGTATAGTATTTATGGTTGTATTCTCGTTTTCTTGGTCTCATTTGATAGAATGGAAAAGATATTATAGAAATAGAGGTGATTTTGTTTGGTTTCACTATGAAAATAACTTTCAAATGGAGCTCAAAATACGGGAAATGTTTGATTTTTGCCGATGTTCAAAAGTACGCAAATGATGTCATTTTCCAATAAATGTCCAACTAGCCATTCTAATATGCAGTCATGAATGGGTTGACATTATTTGTACAACTATTACAATATTGCAGTAGCCTGCATAACAGTAAATCTTTTATTTTTTGTTTGAATAAAAATTCAAAATAGAAAGCAAGAGTAATATCAGAGAGGCCTGGAGACGTGACTGATGAACAAAGAAAATGTTATTTTAGAGCCAGGAATGTCTGCATTGTTCATTCTGGACCCTATTTTGAAATTGTCATTTTTTTAATTTTCTTGAAATTGGCCAAATTGCAAATTTCTGACCACGTTATTGGGTAGTTGAAATCGGTAAATGAGCAGTTTCTTGTACTAAATTGATAGAAAAAATGGAGTTATAAAGAAATAGCTATGAATTTGGTCGACTGGAACAACGGAATTAGCTGAAAATACGGCTCAAAGTGGGCGAAATCACCAATTCATAAATATCGCCAAGGTCGCTAACTTCGCGAGAGTGCAATTCCGTCAGTTTTCTATCAAATTTTGTTCTTTTGGTATCATTACAATCAGGAAAAGATTCTCTATCATTTCACAAGAAAAAATTATATATATATATTTTTTTTTTTTTTGGAAATTTTGCAACACCAGGAGACACCTCAGGATTTGGGGTTGCGACAGTCAAGGGGTTAAATTCAGGTATTGTGCATCTAGCCATATCAAAATGGGCACTGTGAAAATAAAGACAAAACTCAGACATTCCTGAGAGCTTCCACTGAGTACTCATAGTAGAGCATCTAGTCAAACATTTGATAACCAATGTACACATTTTGGGGGTTTTGATTGTGCAATAATTATCTAATAACAAACAGCAATTTGGGCTTTCCTTATTCTTCAATGCCTGTTCTTTCAAGAACTTTGCAAGTGCTCACACACTGAAGTCCTCAATGGAACAGTATTGATGATGAAATGCTAAAGCTTATATTCTAAATCCTATAGTGAACCCTCCACTTGTTGGACTTCTAAAATACAGAATAAAATCTGCTGGGTTAGTAGATTTGGAAACAATGGACAAAGTCCTTTGGTTGCAGAATTGGTCATTATTGTTACAGTCACGGCAAATCAGCTTTCTCTCTATTCACCTCAATTGTTATTACTGGCCACTCACTCCCCCCAGTTAGTACTGTACTTCATTATTTTTTCCTGATGGTGTGTTGCAGTCATCCCATGAAAGTACAACTATCACTTAATTAATATGCTATAAGCAAATTTACGAAAAAATAGTGTATCTTAGGAGTTTTATTTTGTAGTACATGTTGTATACAAGTTTTGTTCCCTGGTGGAGAAGAACAAGTCTGGCATGACAAGGCTTGTAGTATCCTATATTCACAAGACTTGTAGTATCCTACACTCACAAGTATGGTGATGGGTCAAGCACTATTGCATCTTTTGTCTTAGAAATCTCAGCCAATATGCACCTTATAGTAATCCACTATTTTCAACCACTACATTAATTAAATAATGAAATGAGAATTTCACAATATCTAGTCTGTAACAAACTCTGAAAGGAGTGTTTGGGACCAGTCCAATGAATTGACTCGCCCAATATCATCACTACTAGTAAGAAATCAAACGTTTTGTTTTCACCTCGATAACCTAATTGGTGTGGTGACAGTGTTGCCTGAGTGAGATCACTGGATTGGTCCCAGCTCTTCATACACAATTAAATAATTTTCTAAAACTGCATAACTCTGTACAGTAATTCAATTTCTTTTACACCATAAATGCCAAAAGATTACATGCTCTTAGATAAATTGTGTTTCTACATATGAAAGTACCACCTGATTGAAATAAAAATGATAATGTAGTGCATAAATAGATAAATTTTTCATAAGTGATTTGAATATTCAGCTACACTATATTTTCAATACTTACAGACTAAAAGTTTAGTATGAATCATACTGCACTATTGTTTGTAAATTTGTATAAATCATACTGCACTACTCTTCGTTAGTTTGTACAGTGGAACCTTGGTACTCGAACTTAATTCATTCTAGAAGACTGTTTGAGTGCCGATCCGTTCAAGTATCGAATAAATTCTTCCCACTCAGTTTTCTTATTGGTTGGGTGTTATCACTAATCTTTGTAGGCCTCAAGGTGACTTATTTATACAAATAATATAAAAAAAATGTGAAGAAACACAAAATAGTTTACAGTGAAGTTCTGGCAGGTCTTGTTTGTTTGGTCGAGTACTGAGCTTTGTTCGAGTAAAGGGCTGTTTGAGTACCGAGGTTCCACTGTATATCTGTTTTCAGCTCAAGTTAACTAGTTGGGTTAGATGTTGACTTATGTTTACTTTCCTAGGGTTGTGTTCAGGGGAATGTTTCCTGATGGTAAACACCATTACTTCAGGCTTGCTTTACTTAAATTAGAAACTTGCCAACACTCAGTCATAATTTTTTTTATTGGCACACATGTTTTCAAAAGCAAGACAAGCATGTAGGTATCATGCGCCTGATGTGCACACATTAGAACCCTGAACACACAGTAAACACGTACACATGACAGCAGTGGTATAGCGTTGACCAACCATATACACAACTATGCCAGTATGCATTTGTAAAAAAATATAAAAAGGCAGCCACATAAATCTTTCTTTTAAAAAAAATATGAGGCAGTAGAACTGTGATGATTAAGATGTAAAGAGAAGTTTGAAATATTACAAAGCTTCAGTATAATTTTTGAGATGGTGTGGATGTTGAGGACATCAGTCATATTAGTAACATGAATTGTCTTTATTGATGTGCTAAAAAAAAATCTTTGTTTTTACTGTTATCATTTGCATTTTTTTTTTTTTTATTTTGTTATTTTTTAAGTGTTATTCAAGTTTGCTATGAAAGGGCCATACTGGCTGAAATGCTGATGACTACTTTTGCTGCTCCGTAGGTCTGGTTCTCAAGACTTCACCGCCCTCAAGTAGGAGTCACCAAATAGTTTTGCACTAGACTCGTAACAAAATTTCTCTCAAGTTGACCCCTACAGTTGCTAAAGCTGGCATTTTTCTCTTTCCATATTTTTTAGCTTTAAAAATCACAAATAACAGTAATTATAGACATATTTAATGTTTAAAAATGGTAGCTTAGATATATTAATTTGTTGCATTTAAAATGAAGTTACCTTCAATAAGTAATGGAACTTTTAAAGTGGAAGTCTTGTGTCATTTTCAGTTCATTTCAATCATTTATCATTTCTATTTTTAAAAATTTTTGAATTACAGAATTAGTCTCAAGTATTCATTGTGTTAGTAGTGATTTAATTTCATTGACTTATACAATTCATGAGAGTTTAGCAATGTGTAATGGTCTTCTTGACTCATAATACTAATAACAAACAGAGAAGCAACTTTTGGCACTTAAACATTAGGGAGGCTCATGTTTCCCACTTTGCCATTGTAAGGTTAGATGGTTTAGAGGAAGGGCATAGCACTGTCTGCTTCTCTGGCAGTCTAACCCAGTGGTTTAAGCTTGAGCGAATGCTTTACGTGCATAACTTGTGTTCTAATATGGTTACTGGGGCAGCATAACTGGGCAACATTGAGTCTCCTTCCTTGTACAGTATAGCACAGTGTGTCTAGCAGATGATCATGCAACCTATGCTTTTTATTAGGAATTTATATATATATATATATATATATATATATATATATATATATATATATATATATATATATATATATATATATATAATATATATACATATATATATATATATATATATATATATATTATATATATATATATATATATATATATATATATATATGTATATACGTATATATATATTTTATTTATTTATTTATATTATATATTGCATTGAAACACATAATCAGTGACTATATCTAGAAAATCCTTAGAAAGGAGACTGAATGTTGCATCTTGCTGGCAGAATTATGGCACCTTCATTGTTTTCTTCTGACCTAGCATGCGCGCTCATTACCTCTTACTTTATCCGCCTTTGTTTTTGTAAACCCCAATACAGTAGCCAATGTAGCTTACAAATACCATTCTGTTTGTCTTGAATATTTTATTCATTGATTAATGTTCTTTAAAGGAAAATGGACAAATATTTCATCAAACAATAACATTAAAATATGTAGTGAAATTTTTTATGAATATTCTTAAGGGAATATTTTGTCTTGTTCTACAGAAACCCAACGGGCTCCAAATAAACGGCGGAAGCGGAAAGGTTCTCAATCGGGTCAAAACGCGACTGCAAACTCCACTGGCTCAAGCAAGAAAAGATCACCTGGCCCAAACTTCAGCCTGGCTACACAAGTCTCCGTAAGTATCACTAGGCAGACTCATTTTGTGGTGTGGTCAGTGATTTTGAGCCTTGGGTCTGAAGTAAAGTAAGGTTCATTTTCCTGTGATCTGAAGAGGAAAATAGTATTACTGGCTTGAACAAATCTAGGGCTCTTAAGCAGCGATGTCACCACATTTAGTCCATTCCCTCTGTTTCTTGTTAGTGGTCTCATCAGTAACTTGTTAGCCTGTGTTATTGATACCTTCCCTGGATTGTAATGATCACTTCCTATGGCATTTTTTTGTTTGCATGCCATTCTGATAGTGGAACACTTCTCTCCCCAGTGACCAGGCTGATCATTTCCCATGAGGTGAAGCTGATCTCCTCTCTAGGTAGTATTGCCTCTCTGGTTGCTTAGTTAGTTTCTAGTTATAGGTTAAGCCAGATAAACCTTGGACTTCTTCCCACAACCATTACTTACATGGGTAAACATGACTATCAAGTAAGGCAAAAGGGATAAATTTGGCTGCCATGTCTACATCAACTGTAGAGAGGCACATTTCTTTTGTCTGTCTTGGTATGATGTGTTTTTCCACAGTTTTGGTTGTGCTGTGGAGTTATCCAACTTTAAGTGGGTTACCCTACACTTAAATATGCATTCTGCAAATTGTATTTATTATTTAAAAATAGTACCAATTTTTTGTCTATGAGAGTAAAATAGTGCAGCCATATTAATTTTTTTTTTTTTCATTATGTATTTTATAAAAATTCTCATTCCAAATTATGTATGTTCAGTATTCACATTGATAATGGGAGAAGTTACAAGGTTTAGAAATGCTCATTTCATATTTATAATTTATATACAGTACCTGTGAACAAGTTTAATTCAACACAACAGAAAATAACATGACTGCATTCTCATAGAGAAAAAATTACCATTTTTGTGTAACTTACCATTTGAGTTCCACTTCCTCTAAAATCACATAGTTTATGAAAAAAAAAAGGTGTTTGGTAATGGTATGCTAAGGATGAGCTTGATAGATATGCTGCATTTTTGAAGGAGCATGTAAGCATTGTGGTCAAATTTATGTGCTGGAGACTCAGAAATTTGGAGGTACACTGTAATTCTAATTATACATCAAACCATTCTTCAAATGTCATTCTTTGATGGATGTAAAGAGTCAGTAATTGGGATTGTTTCATGTTGCATTAATAGGTATTTTCTTAGAAGAGAAACACAAATTTAAGATTGAAGTAGTCTTGCAAAATTCACTAGAGAAATTAAAAAGGAGACTGCAGATAATTCTAAACTTTTGATAGAGATAAAAGTTATTGTTTTTGGTTGTGTTGTAAATGAAATAAATTAATGAATACAAAGAGTCAAAGAGGAAGAACAATACACAAATGAGGTGACTAAATGCATTGTGGATTTCTGCTTTCAAGAACTTATTTTGGCATACAGGCCTACTGGAAAATATGAGAAAGATAAGCGTGTGCCACTGAAAATAACATTTACACAGATTAAACATAATGAAGAACTTTTTTAAAAGCTAAGGACACGAGGAATTGGAAGGTTATAAGGCTATACAAATTAAACAAGATCTTTCAAAGGAAGATTTCATAAAAACTCCTAAGATGTTGAATGAGGTTAGAAGTGAAAAACAAGCTGTTTTTGGCAGAGTAACAGGGCTATACAAACCCATCAAATGGATTTTCAAAGAAACATCCATGGGATTGGGATACATGAAAATCATGAGCAAATGGGAAAAGGGGCAACAATGAGAATACGTTTTTGAAGATTTTTTTGCCCTGATATAGATGGGGTAATCTCGGAAGCATAAGAACTTGGAGATATGTGTTATATAAATGAAAAGAAAATTTATATAGTTTGTCTAACTGACATCAAACTGGTAAAATGTATTTTAAATGAGGTTGTATTTGACAGAAATTATTCAGTTGGAGGAGAAAGAGTAGGGAAGAAAGGAGGAGGACTGGTAATATTGTTAAAAGACTATCTTCAAGTTATAGAAATTGATATCCAAAATACTGAAAATGTTGAAATTTTAGAGACAAGAGTACAAAATAAAGATGAGAAGCTCTAAGTGATAAATATATAATAATACTTGGGAAAGAGAAGAGTTTGATAGGATAAATGAGGGATTACAGAATATCCTTAGGCAACTATTGATGAAAAGTAAATGAGATAAAAATAAAGTTTTTTAACTATAAATTAGGCAGCCTATGAGGCTGAAACTGTAAACAAATGGACAGTAGGTTTCTCAGTTTAATGACAGTTTTTTTTTTTTTTTATATGTATCAAGATATATTTAAACAAAAATGAGAAAAGGCAATGCACCATCAGCTCTAGATTTAGTGTTTACTCAAACAACAGAGGAAATTTCAACATTAACTCCCTTGGAAAGAGTGATCCTGTTTTATTGGAAATGACATATTCTGTGAAATTTTACTATTATTTATTTATTTGAACATGATACATAGAAGTACAAAGAAATACAGTGGTTAAGTGTAACATGCCAAAGCCCCTTGTATGCAGAGCATTATGGATAGGCTTAAGATAACTAAGCAGTGATATATTCAGTGGTAAACATTATTGTAAACAGATAACAGTTAAGCACAAATGAGTATTTCAAAGACAGGTCATATGGTCATTTACTGTGTTGCTGTGCATTCAGTAGAATGGAGTATTCTTTCAGGTAATGTAGTTAAAAATAAAGTTTGATTGGGTCACAGGTTATTACAACTAAGTGCTAAACCCAAAAGGGTCATACAGCACTGCAGGGTAGGGTGTGCTAAAGGTATAATATGCTTGATTAAGAGGACAGTGAGGAATGCTAAAGGAAGTATAATCAAAGTTGGTGTAATAAATCTGTTGCTGACAAAGTCAAAGAGGGAATCTGTGTCAAAGGTGGGGCCATCAGTGAGAAGGGAAGGCAAAGTTAAGGGCATTAGAGCAGTGATTGCACTGGAGGTAAATTCTGCAGGTGTGCTGGTAGACAGGACAATCTTAAGAATATGGCAAATTGGAACTTGATGATTCTCAGTAGCACTAGGTGCCTCTCCATGAGTGAGTAATGTGTGCCCGATGTAAAGATGGGGAGAGCGTAATCTCCCATCCACAACATCGATGATAAGAGGAAGACCAGAATCATAAACATGGCTTGATGGAATATAATTTATGAATTAATGCAGATCAACATTGCTGGCAATGATTTGAAAGTCTGAAAAAGAATTTCACGAACAGGAACAGTTAGATTTTAAAGAGGGGAATTACAATGTTTTAAAATGGTATACAGCCTCTCCTCACTTAAAGACGGAGTTTCGTTCCTAAGACCACATTGGTAAATGAATTCGTCACTAAGTGAGGAGAATATTATCGTGGTAGCGGGTGTCAGCCATCTTTTTGATATTGTTTTAATATAATCTTTATAACATTTTTGGTATATGTTTATACAGTAATGTACTGTACTATATTGTAATAAACAGAATAGAGGAAATCAGTTTTAATATACATTATTTAGGCATGCAAACTGGTCAGAGAACCCGTCGTAAGTCCGAGTTATCTGTGAACTAGTACATTGCTAAGTGAGGAGAGGCTATACAACAAGAGACAGATATAATCTATACAAAGAGTTCTGTAGTGTATATAAAAAGGAATTAAAAAATTTTCTCAAATAGTATTATAAGATGTTGCAAAGATATTAAAAAAAATGAAAGGCCTGGAATCGGTACAGGAAGCAGGCCCATCAGGAAACTTACTATAGATTCAAGTAGGCTAGAAATAATAGACAAGAGCAAGATTGAACAAAACCTTTGATTTAAGTCTGCAAAAAGTAAACTAAATGTTGAAGACTAAAAGCAAAGAATAATTGATGACGGCAAAATAACTGCGGTAGAGGAAATGTACGAGATATTAAATAGAAAGTATCAGTGCGTGTTCACAGAAGATATTTTTTCTTGTAGGAGATTTAAGTCAAAACAGCTGTGATTAGAGGATATTGAAATAACTAAGGAGGAAGTAAAGAAATTATTACTAAATGGTGATAAAAAGAAGCTATGGGACTAGAGAGGATAGCCTTGGGTCTTAAGAGAATATGCAGATGAATTATGCTGTCCACATTGGAGTTTTTTAAGATTTCACTACAGGAAAGTAAATTAGCAAACACCTATATTTACAAAAGGGTGAAAGGAAGATCCTTGAACCATTTCAGGATCCAGAGGCCAAATTTCAAAGTGTGCACCAGGGTCCAAGAATTTAAATTTTTTTTTTTTTCGTATGAAATTTGATGGAAAATTATGCTCTCGCGAGTTTTGATGTGTCAGCGATATTTATGAATCGGCAATTTTGCCGACTTTGACTCCCATTTTAGGCCAATTACATTATTCCAGTCGACCAAATTCTTAGCTATTTCACTAGTATTACTTCTATTCTATTGATTGAGCACAAGAAATCACCAAGTCAACTATTTCAACTAAAGTGATCGGAAATTGGTAATTTGGCCAAAGTTCAAAATAGGGTCCAATGTAGGTATTCCTGGCACTAAACTAAAATTTCCTCTGTTCATTAGTTACGTTTTGAGGCTTTACAAATGAATTCCATTTTGATTTTTTATTCACATAATGAATTTTTATTCAAACCAAAAAATAGAAGATGACTACATATAAGGTCTTGTAATTTCTTTAAAGCGTAGATTTCTTAGTACCTGGAACAGGAATAACACGAGGCCTTAGTTGCAAATTGAGAAAGAAGTGGAATGGAAAGGATAGCAGAAAAATTTTCTTGTCAAATAGAGTGGTTGGCCAGTGGAATGTATTAAAAGAAGAATTGGTATGTACAACCATTGGAAAATATATAAAATTATATTATGAACACAATATTGAAGCCTACAAATAGGTAATTACAACCCTTCCCCCCCCCCCCTTTACCACACACACACTAACAGTAACGGATTACATGCAGACATATCTGAGGGAGGAGTTTGAAAGGCAGTTCTATTCCCTTTGGAGAGAAACTGTGGCATTATGCAACAAAGCAAGGAATGAGTTGAGCAGGCAGATAGGGCAGAGGAAACAGCCCTAAGGTTGGAAAAGAAAATGAAAGAGCTGAAGGAGAAAATGAGAGGGAAACAATGAAGGAAGGAAAGTCAGTAGCATAGATGCTCTCTGAGATAGGAAGGTTAACCCTTTGACTGTCGCAACCCCAAATCCTGAAGTGTCCCCTGGTGTCACAAAATATTTGGAAAAAAATAAAATTTTCTTATGAAATGATAGAGAATCTTTTCCCGATGATAATGACATCAAAAGTGTGAAATTTTATGGAAAACTTAGGGAATTATGCTCTCACGAAGCTGGCGACATTTATGAATTGGCGATTTCACCCACTTTGAGCCCTATTTTCGGCCAAACTTGTAGCTATTTCTTTAGAACTCCATTCGTTCTATCAAATGAGTACAAGAAACCGCCCATTTACCAATTTCAACTACCCAATAAAGTGGTCAGAAATTGGCAATTTGGCCAATTTCATGCAAATTAAAAAATATGTTAATTTCAAAATAGGGTCCAGAATGAACAATGTAGACATTCCTGGCACTAAAATAACATTTTTCTCTGTTCATCAGTCACATCTCCAGGACCCTGTTATAATACTCTTGCTTTCTATTTTGAA